CCTCACAGGGGGACCCGCTCCCAAAGCTCTGGAGTTGGTGTCTGGGACGGGCGTGCCTGCTCCCGCTGACGGGACGCCGGGAATGGAGTCGCCCCACAGGACGCCCTTCTGGCCTGTAATGCAGCTGCACTCGCCTGGGGTCCAAGCAGGAGGTCCTGCCGCAGGAGGGACAGGCCAGAGGGTGGTAGAGGGCGGGAAGCAGGAGGAAGCTCTGGGTCCCGGGCGGACCCCCCATTGCATTATTCCCACCTCCCGACTCCCACCCAGAACGGACCTGGGGAAACCACCCGCTTCCAACTCAACGTGCAGCCAAGAGCGCCCCTGCTTCCCGCAAGCCCGGCGCCCGTGGGAAGAGCCGTGTGTTCATCTGCTCACAGGGCTGCATGCTATTGACATTTCCCACCGACCGAAGGATGCTCGGTTGGGAGGTGACACGGAGCTGACGGAGGGCGAGGCCAGCCAACTGCCGACAGCCAGAGACCTGAGGGGTGTGGACAGCGACTGGGGAGCTGGGAGTTGTCTGAATGCACCCGCCCTGCACCCCCCCTCCATGCCCATCATGCCCCGGGCAAGACTGAATTCCCAACGGGAAAGAACCGGAAAAGAAGACAGTTATTAGAAGCATCTCCTATCTAACAGGGCAGTGAGGAGCCAGGAAAATTCCAGGGCAAGTGGAATAGGGAAACTGAGGCAGGAAAGTGCAAGCAAGGCCAAACAGCCCTGGCCCGTGTGGGTCAGTGGATAGAGCATCTGCCCGCAGACCAAAGGGTCTCGTGTCCAACTCCTGGTCCAGGGCACGTACCCGGGTTGCAGGTTTGATCCCCCGCCCGGGTGAGAGCTCGTGCAGGAGGAATCAATCCATGTGTCTCTCACGTCAATGTTTCTCTCTGCCTCTCCCCTCCTCTCTGCCTTTCACTCTCTAAAAATCATTGGAAAAAAATATCCCAGGGTGAGGATTAACCAAAACAAAACAAAAAACCAAGTCCAAACAGTGTGGGCAATTTGCAGCCAGCTTGTCACTAACAAGCCATGGTCTTCCCCAGCCAGGACGAGAGAGCAAAGGGTTAAAAGCTCCCCGAGGAGGGATGCAGAGAGGGAGGGGGAGGGGAAGGGGAAAAGGGCCCTTTCACTCCCGCAGAGAAGCCGCAGCCTGGGGCTTGGCAAGGCAAAGGGGCAGGTGCTTCTCATGGATTCTGGGAATTCTGGGAAGGCCACACAAAGTAAACAGGGGCCTTGAGAACGAATCTGCACCAAGAGAGTCAGCAAGGAACCTGGAAACCTACAGACAGGAGGGCGTCTGAGGACTCGGACCCCACCCCACCTGCTCTTCAGATTAGCGGAGAGCTGAGAGCCGAGAGCTGAGAGCCTCCGTAAGCCGCAGGCGTAGGGCTGCTCGCCTTCTTCTCTAGTCAGGGGCAGGCCTCAGGGCTTTCATACATGGGCTGGGTCACAGCGCCGGCGAGGTCTGAGTACGAATCCACGTACGTGAGAGGGCTGGGTGGAGGCTGGACAGCCTCTCCCTCCGACTCAGTGGTTCTCAACCTGTGGGTCGCGACCCCTTTGGCGGTCGAACGACCCTTTCACAGGGGTCGCCTAAGACCATCCTGCATATCAGATATTTACATGACGATTCATAACAGTAGCAACATTACAGTTATGAAGTAGCAACGAAAATAATGTTATGGTTGGGTCACCACATGAGGAACTGTATTTAAAGGGCCAGAAGGTGGAGAACCACTGTTCCGACTCAGCTGGACTCTGTGTCGGTGGGGCCCCAGCAGGACGACTGTCACGAGCGCCTGTGAAGCCTCCCCTGGGCCGGCCTGTCTGCTTCGCTCAGCAGATGTCAGGAGCCAAAGTCAGTCCAGTTCAGCTTAAACCCAAGAGCAAAGCTGGGGGGGGTGGGGGGGGGTAGAGGGGCTGGGACGCTCTGGCAGCTGCAGGGGCCAGAAGACAGACCCAGAAGAGATAAGGCCACCCCGACAGATGCTCTCCAGTCGGGGGTTCAAGTGCAGTGAAGGGACTTTTGAGTTTCCTGTCTTTAAATCTTTCTTGGGATGAAGCTGGGACGCACATGGACCCGTCCGCGGCTGGTCTGCGCCTGTCTGAATTCTCGGGCACACGTGGCCTGGTCCACGTGCCCAAGCACAACGGAACCACAGGAGCCAGAAACCGCGTGTTGAGCAGCCCAGCGGCCGGAGTCGGGTGGCTGGCTCAGCTGAGGGGGGGCGGGGGGGCAGGGAGCCTACGGGCTCGAGCTGCAAGGCAGGGAAGCCCCCTGTCCACCCCGGGAATCCTAGGACTTACGTCCTGGTCACGGAGAGGCTTTAGCGTAAAGGTAAAGGAATTTTCCACAGTGAAAACATACTAGTTAGTATGCACATGAGCTGCAGGAGTTTAAGAATATGTATATGTATAAATTTACTAGCATAAACACTTGTCATTTAAGCATAATTATTTCCCAATAATTAGCTTAAAGATCATAATTATAAGTGGCAGTTATTATAAATAGGGTATCTGTTCATTAAAACATTTAAAAAGCAGAACAGCCCAGCCAGCGTGACTCAGTGGTTGAGCACTGACCTATGAAACAAGAGGTCACGGTTCAATGCCCCGTCAGGCACATCCCCAGTGGGGGGCGTGCGGGAGGAGCCGATCCATGGTTCCCTCTCATCATGGATGTTTCTCTCTCTCTCCCTCTCCCTCTCCCTTCCTCTCTGACATCAGTGAAAATATATTTAAAAAATGACAAGCAGGACACTGCTGAGTCTCGCTGCTCAATCCGACTCGTGCTGCCAGTTTCTCCTGAGGACGTCAGCATGTGCCGCCCCCGCGGGCGGGTGACATGGGGGCCCGGCCGGGGGCTTTGTTACAGAAATTACCTTTTCTGCATCTTGGTTTCTCATCTATAAAAGCTGAGGGAGTGGCGAGTTTGCTTGTTCGTATCCAAGGTGTGAGGTTACGTCCCGTGAGCCCTCCCACATTCCGCGTCTGCATCTGGGACAAGTGGCAGGACGAGTCTCCTAATAACCCCACAGGTGACCCCCCTAAATACCGCCGTCCTCCCTTATCCACGGCTTCGCTTTTATGCGGTTTCAGTGACCCCTGGTCCACTGGGGCCCGAAAATATTAAATGGAAAATTCCAGAAACAAACAATTCGTAAGTTTAAATTCGGTGCCATCCTCAGGCCAGAATGGAATCTGTGTCCGCTCCTTCCCGCCCGATGGGAACCCACCTTGTCAGTGCGTTCACGCCACAGACGCCCCCGCCTGCCGGTCACTCAGCAGCCGCCTTCGTTACCAGACCCCGTCCAGTCCGCAGGGTTTGTGCTCAAGCGGCCCTGGTTTTACTTACTAATGCCACGTTCTCATAACTCATTGCAGCAGATTGTTACCACTGTCCTATTTCATTACTAGTTACTGTTGTTAATCTCTAACTGTGCCTAATTTATAATTAAACTTTATCATAGTTGTGTACATACAGGAGGAAACATGGTATATACAGGGTCAGTACTACCCGCAGTTTAGGCACCCACGGGGGTCTTAAAATGCATCTCCCGTGAACCAGGGGGCACCGTAAAGGGTGAAGCAGCACCAGGACCTGCCGCCCTCCCTCGGGCCAGGTCCTGTGGACAGCCTGTGACCGTCACAGCACCCAGAAGGAGGCCCTGCGTGAGTTTGCAGAGGCCAGTGCCAGCACCCACGGCGCTCCCGCCACCCACGGCGCTCCCAGCGTCCTGCCCTGAGCCCCTGCAGCTCCCTGAGACACAGATGCAGGGAGCAGGTGCAGGTGAGGGGCAGGACTCAGAGCAGAGGCACAGAGTCTGGGGCTGGGGAAGGAGGCAGCGCTTTGCAAGGTCAGAGCCTCACTACCTACGTTTTTTTCAGACCAAAGGAGGAGCTTGTTGACCTTGAGAGGTGGCGTTCCCCCTCTGCTTCTGGTCCGCTCTGCTCTGGTATTTGCTCCGCAGGCTGGTCGGGTTCCAGCCCCAAGCCCAGTACAAGGAGGCAGAGTGGGCACACGGCTGTGTCATTCCTTTCCTGACCTCCCTGTCTCCAGAGCTGGCAAGGCCCGGGGGGTGGGGTGGGCCCTGCATTGTTCTTGCTTCACAGGATCAGGATATGCCAACGTGCACATCATAAGCAGCAGGCAGCATAGCGAGGACACACACACACACACACACACACGAACACAGATAAACACGGGACACACACACAGATACGGGGATACACACACAGACACACAGATAAACATGGGGACACACACACAGATAAACACGGGGACATACACAGATACACATGGGGATACACACACAAACACAGATAAACACGGGGACACACACAGGAACACAGATAAACACGGGGTTACACACAGGAACACAGATAAACACGGGGACACACACGGGGATACAAACACACAGATAAACATGGGGACACACACAGGAACACAGATAAACACGGGGACACACACAGGAACACAGATAAACACAGAGACATACACACAGGAACACAGATAAACACAGGGACACACACAGATACACATGGGGATACACACACAGACACACAGATAAACACGGGGACACACACACAGATAAACACGGGGACACACACACAGGAACACAGATAAACACAGAGACATACACACAGGAACACAGATAAACACGGGGACATACACACAGGAACACAGATAAACACGGGGACACACACACAGGAACACAGATAAACACAGAGACATACACACAGGAACACAGATAAACACGGGGACACACAGATACGGGGATACACACAGAGACACACAGATAAACACGGGGACGGACACACACACACACACACCTGCAAGGACGCTTTCTGGCTGAAAAGAAGGTAGAACTCTTTCCTTCGACTTTCCCTGAATGTCCAGTGTCAGAGAGAGGCGAGCTGCTGGGAAGGGAAGGGCAGCACCTCCCACACGTGGTCCCACAGCCTCTCGCCCGAGAGCCATGGCGAGTGCAGGTACGTACCCGGCCTGGGCGCTGTCCCGATACGGCAGCACTGAGAACACGCTGCAGAAGGATCGCCTGCCACTGAGGAGGACGATTCTACAAAATAAAAACAGAAAAAGAACAAACAACTAAATGCAAAGACTCTTAAATTTAAAAATCCCCGAGCGATGAAGCGCTCATGGGATTCGCAGCGGCGTCTGCCCCTCCCTCCGCCTCTGCCTCCGCTGCCTCTGATCCCGTCAGCCAGCGAGACACCCTGCTCGGAGGGTCTGCAAGGAGCGCAGCGAGTCCTCTGTGCGACCTGCTGGCTCTGGGCTGCACAGGCCAGACGGGCGCAGGGCTGAGCTGGGTGCCCGGTGCTGTGCCCGCAGCCACATTAAACCCCTGGCTCCCACCCTGCAGTTACGGAGCAAGAGCAACGGGCCAGGAACCTGGAGCAGGAGAGACACGCAGATGCTTGGGTGTGTCTCCCAGGCTGCGGCACACGGGCTCTGAGGGTCAATGAAGGAACAAGGACCAGCAGCCTCAGCCCCATCCCTGCGACAGACACTCCTGGAAACGGCCCTGCACCGACGCTCTCACGTGATCGATCGAAGGGCACGCAGACAGGCATTAGCGAGCTCTCAGCAGCACTTACCCTGGCATCGAGAATAACGTTTGCGAAAGAGAATGACGGATGGAAACAATGGAGAAAGGAGTGGAAATGAAAAAACAACATTCTTTGGTGCCATGGCAACACACATCAGATGCGAAGCTTGTTGGCTTCTGTGATCTTTCCCTTCGGTAACTAATCCTGAAGCCAGCGGAGCAGACAGCACCACTGGCATCAGATTGGGGGGCTCTGACCTGGTTCACTGGGACATTCCGTGGCTTCCACGCTCGCAAGTCGGGCTTCCCAGCACGGCACCGGCCTGTCTCCTCGCTCTTCCTGCCTCTCTGGCCCTCACACACGGCACCCCCCACGCCCCTCACTCACCACAAAGGACTTGCACACCCACCTTCAAGTCCCGCCTTGCACGCCTCTGTCCTTTGCTATTCCTTCTGCCTGTTGTGCCACACGGCACTCGGGGACCTCGTATTTGTCCCTCGACACTGGCTCCGCCGTCCCCTCCCCGTTACTCATCCCTCAGCGCTGCTTCTGCTCCCGATTTCCTCCTCAGGAGGGTACGGACCCCAGAGCGGCGAGCCAGGGGCTGCTCCCCTCTTCCCGCGGTGGGTGCAGCCGTGACACCTGGCAGCCCCCCCGCAACGCCCTGGGAGCACCGAGTCCCCATCACCGGGGACAGGACTGAGGCTGCTCACTGCACAGTGACTCCCGTCCACAGTGGCCGAGGGGACCCAACTACGTCCCAGCTTCACACACGGGGGCTTTCCTCCGAGCCCCGTGTCCCACATGGAAAGGAGAGGAACTGTAACTGCCTTGTTGGAACGTCACAGCAGCGATGAGAGCTCAGGACGTCCCAGTCCCTGGAGCCCGTT